TGCCTGGACCCGACACGAGAAGTCGACGCTGCCCCGCCGAAGACATGCACGTGGAGCTCCCCCTACACCGTGGGGCGGGGCACCCCACCGGACGCCGTCTCCGGGGACGGCCGTTGCGCCTATCGCGTCTTTATGCACTGTGTGCAGGCATCGTGCTCTCGCCTGAAGTCGGGAAAGGGCCCTTCCACAGGAGGAGTACTCGAGAACAGTCCAAACACCCACAAACAAACGCCGCCAGGCCCCGAGAAGCACTACAAACACCCTGGGGTCACGATTCAGGTCAGGGGTGTGCCAGCTTGCGCGAGGCGGCGGGATGCGAACTTTGGCTCTGGGGCCGTCCGTGCAACTCCCTGTGAGGTACGATCTGTGTGAGAAAACAGTCGACATACGCAGGGGGACGTGAGGTTGCGCGAATCCTGTGACAATGGCCGCACGGGAACTACATCCCTCTGGGACACGATTCGTGAGATGGGTTTGCCGAGACGGGCGGAACGACGCCGTGCGAATTTTGACTCTGGACCCGCAGGTGGAGCTCCGAGGGGGACGCTATGTGAACCCTGCCTTCCTACGGCGCCGTAGGATCATCGCTTGCACTGTTTCTCAGCTTTCCTACAGCCCACTTCTCCTCCTCCCCTCCTCGCCCTCCTCCTCCTCCCATTCCTCCTCCTCCTCCTCCTCTTCCTCCTCCTCCTCCTCCTCCTCCACCTCCTCCCCTTCCTCCTCCTCTTCCTCCTCCTCCTCCTCCTCCCTCTTCTTTTTCTCCTTTTCCTCCTCCTCCTCCTCCTCCTCCTCCTCCTCCTCATCCTCAGCCTTCACCTCCTCCTCCGCTTCGCTCGTGCGGATTTCAATACTTCGGCAATGGTGCTCTCGCCCATCCGTGGCCGCATACTGATCCAAGATTGGCGCAGCCACCCCTGCACTGACCACACTCTCCAATACGAGCGATACTGTCGCCCCAGAGCTGGCCACAGCCCTCACTGCAGATGATGCTGCCGGTCGCGCACAAGCTCCACTCCTGAATAGGATAGGCGCTCTCGCCCGAGCGCTGGCCACACCTCTGGGAGTCATGCTGCCGTCTGCGCGCTGGCCAAATCCTTCATGGAACGCGGCACTCATTTCGCAGCGCCAGCCACGCCCCTCACTGACTATTGTGATGCCGCTCCGCTCGCACGGTTCCCACAGCCCTCATGGGAGAATGGTGTTCCGCCCAAGCGCCAGCCACATGCATTTCCAAGATTTGTGCTACCGCCCCAGCGCCGGCCGCATCCGTGTGTGAGACTGGTACTCTCGTTTGAGTCTCGGCTGCATCCGTCTTCTGCGAGCGCCACCTCCGGCGCGAGACAACTGGCGACCGCAGCCCTTCGTGCTGGGCGAGTGCTGAACTTGGCGTTCGGTTTGGACGGAGCGCGTCGGGTATGCTGCCAATCGGAGCTGCGCCAGCTTAGCCCCACAGTGTCAGGTTCGGGAATGGGTCGTAGCAACACTGCGGCTACATCAATATGCTAACAGCAGAGTCAATAAAACATGTAGGTGCAAGGATCAAAATTAAATGGCGAAGCGCAGCGAGCCTTCACATCGTGTGCATATATACATGACTTGTTAGACGTAATCCTCATGACACAAAGGAGTGCCTGTGAATTCCACAGGAAAAAAGGATGTGGAAAGGAATCCGTATGAAAAGAAATGAACGCTGCTGGAATATACAAGTCCTCCCGAGTCCTCCCGCAACGTCCTAACTCCTCCCATCTGCGTCCAGATGGCTCCCATAGAGTTGGCCGCCCGAGAACCCGCATCATTATATTTCCTCCCATCTGCGTCCAGAAGGCTCCCGCAGAGTGGGCCGTCCGAGAACCAAGTGGATTGATTTAATCGACAATTTTCCCAGTATTCGCACTGAGATGCACACGTGCGCTGTAGCGCCGACCCGCACGACGGGGGGAAGGGTGAGGGAGGAGGAGGACGAGGAAGAAGAAGAGGGAGGAGGGAAGAACATTACATTATATTATCAGCGTTCCTATTGCGTGGTGTTCAGTTGTTTGTTGCAGATCTGCATCTACATGCTCCTCCTACGTGTCCTGTGCACGTAGGCATTGTGGTGTGCACTAACGCTGTGTTGCACGCGGTTGCTCTGGTGTACACAGACGCTGTGGTGTGGACAGGCGCTGCGGTGCACACAAGCAGTGTGGTGTGCACATGCGCTGTGTTGCTGAGTTACAGACGGCTGCTGCGGTGTACACATTCATTGTGGTGTGCACATGCGCTGTGTTGCACGCAAGCGCTGTTGTGTGATGTGCACTGGCGCTGCGTTGCACACGGCTATTGCGGTGTGCGCAGGCGCTGTGGTGTACACGCACGCTCTGGTGCACGCGAGCACTGTGGTGTACACAGGCGCTGTGGTCCAGATCGCCACCTATAGGCGCCTTCCATGTTCTTCCTTCGAAAGACGGCACGAGGAAACCTAACATATTTTCAGCGCCTTCCTACCTGGCGTTTCTGCCCACATCCTCCGAGCGATTGGTGTGCTGCCTATGGGCCGCCGTCCCTGGACCATGCAAACAGCGGCAGAAGACCGCCTCCCGCAAGCGGTTCCCAATCTGCTTGGAGGGTGGAGCCAGGACTAAAGCCGAGCAGCAACGGAGCAGCGCCTGAGCGGCGGCAGAGATGCCCTGTCGCTTCCAGGGCCAGCGAGCCTCTGTTCGGTAGGGCTTCGGCTGCGCCCAGTGAGCCCCCCCCACCTCCTGGCTGGCCTTAGAGCAGCCCCAGCTGGACTCCACAGGCCCCCCGAGCAGGGCAGGGCACCCCCGCGCCGCGTCCGGTGGCGCCCCTGCGGCGCGCCGCGGCCCAGGGCCCCCCGAGTAGCCCCAGCTGGACTCACCAGGCCCCCCGAGCAGGGCAGGGCGGTCTCGACGCCCCCGCGCCGCGTCCGGTGGCGCCCCGGCGGCGCGCCGGCGGCCCAGGGTCGGGGCGCGGAGGCCGCTCGGGGCTGCGGATGGGGCGCCTCGTCGGGCCGGCCTGGACTGCTCAAGGAGGGGCCTGCGGAGGCCAGCTGGGGTGACCTGGGGCTTGCCGTCTCCTCCTCCTCCTCCTCCTCCTCCTCCTCCTCCTCCTCCTCCTCCTCCTCCTCCTCCTCCTCCTCCCCCTTGCGATGGGCTCGTGGGGCGCGCGCCCTCGCCGCCCCACGAGCCCATCGCAAGGATCTCTCGTGCCCGCCGCGAAGGGCAGGAGGAATGGCGTGTGTGTGTGTGTTGTGTGTGTGTGTTGTGTGTGCGTGTGTGTTGTGTGTGCGTATGTGTTGTGTGTATGTGTTGTGTGTGTGTTGTGTGGGTTGTATGTGTTGTATGTATGTGTTGTGTGTGTTGTGTGTGTGTTGTGCGTGCGTGCGTGCGTGCGTGCGTGCGTGCGTGCGTGCGTGCGTGCGTGTGTGTGTGTGCGTGTGTGTGTGTGTGTGTATGTGTGTGTGTGTTTGTGTGTGTGCACCTCACCACCCAGGGCCGCCTACGATCCGATTCGATGTAGTTCGATTCGACAGTTGTGGCCGCGATTCAGCGGCATCAGCCAGGGCCAGCTGGAACTGGGCGCAGCGACCTTTTTTCGACTCGATTCGGGATGATTCGTGGGCGATGCGATCCGTTTCCAATCCGACGCGACTTCGCGATTCGATCCAGCTCAGGCTTGCCACCTTCCAAACCACCCCAACCCAACCCGAAGGCCCCAATGTGCCCTTCTTCTCCACGAGTCAGGGAACACTGTGTGCAGGGCCGGGCAGTCTAGGCCTCCAAGAGGGGGTCAGAGAAGATGGGGTCGGAAGATCACGCCGCATCGCCGATGCATCGGCGATGCGGCTGGATGTGGAGCTCGAATAGTTCTCCACGCCGACGGTTCAGATGCACCGCCGACGTCGCCGATGCATCGGCGAAGCGGCGCGATCCTCCGACCCCATCTACTCCGACCCCATCTGAAAGGCCTCTAGACAGAGGAGGGCGGTGACTTTGTGGTCCTGGATACGACAAGGCAGCTTTTTACTGATTCAAGTGTTTCCACTGTTTTCCGTTTCCAGAGCTGTGCCTGTGGTTGTCTCTGGCGCCAGTGTCGTTTTCGTTTCTTCTGGTAGACGTTCGGTCCAGATACATTTATTTTACTGGATCGTCTCTCAAAGTCGCCAGACGTATCGAGCTCTCGCGCTCATCCGTCCCCCTTCTTCGGGAGTTGGGGTGGAACAAGGTTGGGGGGAGAGGACAGGGGCAGGAAGAGGTACCGACATACCGATGTGCTACCCCGTTTCCACCTTGGACTTGTTCCGCAAGTCAGCGTCGTATCCTCCTTCTCCTCCTCCTCCTCCTCCTCCTCCTGCTGCTCCTCCATTCATTTCTTTGTAAGCAACTTCTCCCCGTCGCACCCCGGGTCCAGTTTTTAAGGCGGGCTGGGCGTTTCGCCTGAGACTTCATCAGCTTGTATGACCCTGAAGCTCGAGCAGTGGCAACAGTTTCACAGATAGAGGGTGGGTCGTTTTGAGAAGGTGACCCTCGCCTTAGCGTCGCGCACCTTTGTCTTAAACATTTGCACGAGCTTCACGGATTGAGGGCGGGTGGTGCGTTTCAGAAATGGCGCTTTGGAAGAAACAGGATTGATTGAGGGTGTAACAAATGTTTTGATTCGCGGTGTTGAAGTCCCAGGAACGGCGTTCTGGCGCAATTACGGATCGTCAAGACGCAACGGTCAGGTTGATCCGTGGCGTTGGAATCCCGAACACATTGTTTGGGCATGCTTCAGGGTCCTCGAACGGTTCCCTTCCAACGAGGCAGCCAGTTTCCTCAGTGGACATGAACCGTTGCAGGGGGCCTATGAAGATGGAGCTTGGAGGGAGGTTGTCTTCCAACATCGTTGATGACTCTTGGGTTTACACTGGTCCTCCTCCTCCTGCTCCTGCTCCTTCTCCCTGCTCCTTGCAGCAAGGAGCAGGGAGCAGGTTTCGGCAGTTGTCCTAGAGTTTGAGATTATCGCAGGTCTTGGCTTAGAGTTTTTTGCAGCCTTTTAGAATTTGAGTCTCTTCGCGGGACATGGCGGTGGACCGCCTGCAGTCGCCACTGCCAATCCTAATCCTTGCTCCTCTTCGGAAACTGGAACATATACATTACCAGTGGCGGGCTGTTTCTCAATCCCAGGATTGGTTGAGGGTCGAGGACGACGCTGGGGTGGTGTGGTGTATACTTTTTCCCCTGATGTCCCGGGGAAACGACGAAACATGCATACACCAGGATCCCGTCTACACCAGAATCCGCGTTCCTGTGCGAATTTCGGCGCAGGGTCGGGAAAAGCGTCGGCGTATAGAGTTCGATTCCCTACCTCCTCCCCGCTCCCTCCGCCCCGGGAGACCCCTACGCCGCAGGTGGGACTCCACGCCCATGTACGCGTACGGCGGCCTGGGCGCCGCGGCGGGCCTGCGCCACCTGTGCCTGGTGGGCCGCGCGGACGCCGGGGAGGCGGAGGCCCGCTCCCGGCGGGGCTCAAGAGACGGGGGTCAATGCAAATTGCGGGCAGTGTCTATATCCACATCCAGTGCATCTTGGAGTTTCGGGCTCTCTTCGCAAGGAACATGAGGCGCACTGGATATGGATGATAATATGCATACGAAGGCTCGATGTTTATCCATATCCCGTGCGCCTCGGCCTTGCGGCGCCCCTTCCAAGAAAGTCCAAGACGCACAAGATATGGATATAACTTTTGCCCGCACAAGCGGGGGTCAGCCAGGGCACCGCATCCTACAGGACCCTGCGAAGACCCCTTCTGGCTGACCCGGGCTAGCGAGCCGCTCGTGGCCGCGAGGCGGCCGCGCGTATTGGCTGATTTGGCCGGGGTCTGCAAAGGCCTGCGTTGCAGTTCTTTCTGTTTTCCGGCATTGCAGTTTGTTCGGTCCAGGTCCGGATTGGCCCGGGTCAGAAGACTCCCGATCTTAGCGAGGGACCCAGGCCCCCTCGAGTTATGAAATGCGTGGGCGGCCAGGAGGGGGGTGATGACTACTAGGGTTAAGTCGGTCTACAGGGGGGATATTCAAAAATAGTCAAAAGATAGTCAGGGGTTTCTTTTTTTTATATTATTTTTTGGCACATTTGGGGCATTTGTAGGGTTATTTTAATATTTTCGCCCCAAATCACCCTGTACGGGGACAGACCCGACTTAAGAGTAGGGGTGTGGATATCCTGGCGTGGGCCATGATGCTTCCTCCGATGTCATGGCGCCTGTTCTTGTTTGATGACGTCCCTGGCCCCCCCCCTCCTGGACGCCCCCCCTCTTGGCCGCCCCCGAGAAAACACGACGGAAGGCTTTTGGCTAACTACCTTCGGCCTCTGGGAGGCTCTCGCTGGGCCTCGGGATCGTCCAGAAAACGACTCAGGGTGATAAGCCGGTCCTGGGAAATGGGTCGAGCCATTGGGGGTAGACGGACGTCTGGAAGACATCGCGACGTCGGGGGTCTGGGGAGGGGGAGATGCCGGGGAGGGAGGGGTTCCGGGTCAGAGTCTCCCTGGGCTCCCAGATGGGGTCCGAGAAGGCGGGGTCGGAGGATTGCGCCTCATCTTCGATACATCGGCGGTGCGGATCGATGTGGACCCGGCTGTATCCCCTCGACCGGTACCGATACGTCGCCAACGCCGCGGACCCGATATATCGGCGATGCGGCGCGACCTTCCGACACCATCTACTCGGACCCCATTTCTGGGGCCTCAAGGTTCCCAACACGTCCCCAGGTCCCGTCCCCCCCTCGCCCGCGCAGACGCCTAGGGCCATGATTTGCGAAGCCGTCCTTTTGGGCGCGCCCTCCTGGGCGCCCCCGACCCTCAGCTTGACCCTCGACGGTCCCCAGTTCAGGGGCAACATTTGAGGGCGGTTCGAGTTTCGAGCCTCGCTCTCCGAAGGTTGTTGATCGTCCTAGGGCGCCCTCGTGCCTTCGTGGCCAAGGCTGGACCCGCCTCGAAGTTCTTGGCAGAACGCACCCCAGGAGAGGTCCAGGGGTCGGGTTTACCCGGGGTTCAGGCCCACCCCGAGCTTTCTCCCGGGCCGCGCGGGCGCCGGGGAGGCGGAGGCCCGTTCTTAGCAGGTATGGGACGGCGGGACGTCGTGGGCACAGATGATGAGGAGGCGGGGGGCGGGGCGGAGGGAGCGGGCGATGGCATGGAGGGGGCGGGGAGTGGGTGGGCAAAAAGAGCTGCAGAGGAGGGAAAGGGGATGCGAGCGGATGGGGAGGGAATTCCTCCTCCTCCTCCCCCTCCTCCTCCTCCTCCTCCTCCTCCTCCTCCTCCTCCTCCTCCTCCTCCTCCTCCTCCTCCTCTCCCCAAGAGAGGGGGTGGTCCAAGAGAGGGCCACGGAAACGTCCAGGGAAGCCAGCGCGGCCACCAGGATCGAGAGAGGGGAGCGGTTCCCCCCGCTCCTCTCCGCCCCGCCCCTCCCCGAGGCTCCCGCATCGCTGGCGCGCGAGCTGGGCTCCTGGATCGCCGCGCCGGTCAGGACGCGCCCGCGGGGGCTGTCGTGTGTCAGGGGGACAGCGGCAGGGGGAGGCAGGCTCAGAGGGGGGGGGGGGATGCATTGACCCACGATCGCCCATTCGTCGCCGGTACGGCAACGGACCCGCCATCGGAGGCCTGTCGCCGATCTGTCGGCGACAGGCCGCCCATGCCAAGCCGACGATTCCCCCATGAGCGGGTCCCCCGGCAGCGCTGCCCTGCACGGCCCAGGCCCTCTCGGGTCGTAGAAGAAACGCGCGCGAAGGGAAGGTGATGGGCAAATGCCTCCTTCAGCCGCGTTCCGTTCTCCCCTCGTCGTTGTCGTCGTTGCCGGTTCTGCCAGACGTGTCACTGTTCCAGAGCAAAGCCGCTGGCAGTGTCCATCTTACCAGCGTGCTTAAGACGTACAGGGGCTTCACCTTCCTCGCTGAGGGCCCAGGATCGGCAACACCCAAACATACTTATACTACATGTGCGTCGCCCCCCCAGGGGCGACGCGCGCACCGAGAAATCTTATAGTATATGCGTTGTGGCGGGCGCTTTCTGGCCACACCGCTCGGGAAACGATATACTACAAGATGGGTATACTATATGTTCGGGTCGGACGCGCGCCTCCAAGGAGGACATATCGTATTAGTATGTTTCTGTGCATCCCAATCAACGCACTATCGCGGGATCGGAAGCAAGTCCCGGGGAAAGGGGCCAGACGTCTGGAGGTCCACGACGTCGGGGGTCTGGGGAGGACAGGTGGCCCCGGTGGTCGCCCTTTTCGACCCGCAGTGCCGCCGGAGTCCCCCGCCCTGGTGTCTGGCTCGGCACGGCATCCCTGTCAGGCATTGGGGACAAACGAGAAGACGACGAGGCGGCTTGGAGGAGGAGGGTGGAGAAGGACAAGGAGGAGGAGGAGGAGGAGGAGGAGGAGGAGGAGGAGGGCCTCCTCCTCCTCCTCCTCCTCCTCCTCCTCCTCGCGGCACGCCGCCACGTCAGAGGTCCCGGCCGCATGGGCGGCAGGCTCGCGCCGCGCTGGCGAGCGAAGGCGAGCGGCCGAGGCGGAGCGCCGAGAGCTGCCCGAGCGTGGCCAGTGGCAGGCGATATCCCGCCGAGGCCCAGACTTCAGCCGGGCCTGTTCCTCTACAGGAGGGGGATCCAGAAATAGGCAAGGCATGCTCAGGGGGCGATTCTGTTGATTGTTGTTTGATCCTGCCTGCATGTGTTTGGGCTACGCTACATTCGTCGCCCAGAATCCCCCCTAATAGGGGGACAGGCCCGACCTGAGCCCAGACATGCTCTCCAGCAGTGGCGTGGCGTCCTGGCTTGCCTGTAGGCCTACCACAGAGTGGTCAAAGAGCCTCTTGTGTTTTGCAGGGAAGGTTCCTAGAACATTTCTGGCTGGGGCTGTCTTGTTTTCACGCCCCGGCTGCATGGTCGAAGCACATTGTTGTCGTTAGGGGGACCTCTTTGGGTCCTGAGAAACCTTCGTGGTAGGGCTAGAGGAATATCGGGACGTTTGGTTCCTGCTCAATGCCTTGGACGGCCGAAATGGGTACGGAAGAAATGGGTGCGATGCCGAACAACAAACAAAAATGTCCCAAACTGGCAACGGCCGCTGTTGGGCAGGCGGCCTTCTGTCTGAAATGAACAACGTCCGCGGCGACGCGGACAGCGAGTCTTTTTCAACATAATCGAGTAATCATGTTGGGCATCCGACCCATATTTTCCGGTCCCTGAAGTCGGGCCTGTCCCTCTACAGGAGGGAAAATCAGAAGTAGTCAAACAATGATATGGGCACGATGTCTCGACAACTTTGTGGGGTATGCTTCAGTCATGTGTTTGCGTGCTCTCACTGTTTCGCCCAGAATCCCCCCGCAGGGGCACAGGCCCGACCTGACCTGTACGAAGGATTCTGCAAAAAAAAAGGATTGCAACAAAAACCCTTCGTTCAAGGGTTTTTTTGCAATCCTTCGTTCAAGGGTTTTTTGGCAATCCTTCGTTGTTCCCAACCATCCTGTGGTGTTGGGTCCTCGTTTTGAAGAGACAGCGCCCCGCGTTCCTTCCTTCCCGCTGCCCCCTCCCTCCTCCCATCTTCATCATCATCGTCATCATCCCCATCATCGTCATCGTCATCATCATCTGTCGTCATCATCATTATCACCACCCATGTCGGCACACCCCTCACACGTTTCGTGACCCCATAGGGAGCTCCACCGAAGGTCCCAGTGCGTGTGCCCGCATGCGTCCCGCACACTCATTTCGGCACACCCTTCACACGTTTCGTGGCCCCATAGGGAGCTCCACCGAAGGTCCCAGTGGGTGTGCCCGCATGCGTCCCGCACACCCATTTCGGCACACCCCTCACACGTTTCGTGGCCCCATAGGGAGCTCCACCGAAGGTCCCAGTGGGTGTGCCCGCATGCGTCCCGCACACCCATTTCGGCACACCCCTCACACGTTTCGTGGCCCCATAGGGAGCTCCACCGAAGGTCCCAGTGGGTGTGCCCGCATGCGTCCCGCACACCCATGTCGGCACACCCCTCACACGTTTCGTGGCCCCATAGGGAGCTCCACCGAAGGTCCCAGTGGGTGTGCCCGCATGCGTCCCGCACACCCATTTCGGCACACCCCTCACACGTTTCGTGGCCCCATAGGGAGCTCCACAGAAGGTCCCAGTGAGTGTGCCCGCATGCGTCCCCCACACACATTTCGGCACACCCGTCACACGTTTCGAGGCCCCATAGGGAGCTCCACCGAAGGTCCCAGTGGGTGTGCCCGCATGCGTCCCGCACACCCATTTCGGCACACCCCTCACACGTTTCGTGGCCCCATAGGGAGCTCCACCGAAGGTCCCAGTGGTGTGCCCGCATGCGTCCCGCACACCCATTTCGGCACACCCCTCACACGTTTCGTGGCCCCATAGGGAGCTCCACCGAAGGTCCCAGGGGTGTGCCCGCATGCGTCCCGCACACCCATTTCGGCACACCCCTCATACTTTTCGTGGCCCCATAGGGAGCTCCACCGAAGGTCCCAGTGGGTGTGCCCGCATGCGTCCCGCACACCCATTTCTACACCCCTCACACGTTTCGTGGCCCCATAGGAAGCTCCACCGAAGGTCCCAGTGGGTGTGCCCGCATGCGTCCCGCACACCCATTTCGGCACACCCCTCACACGTTTCGTGGCCCCATAGGGAGCTCCACCGAAGGTCTCAGTGGGTGTGCCCGCATGCGTCCCGCACACCCATTCCGGCACATCCCTCACACGTTTCGTGGCCCCATAGGGAGCTCCACCGAAGGTCCCCGTGGCGCAGTCCACATGCGTCTCCTTTGCCCAGTACAGCGTTACGTGGCCCCATATGGAGCCCCACCGCAGGTCCCAGCCAGCCAGCTAGCTCTCTTTGCTCCGCGCAGCGGGCGACCCGCGCGCGTCGCTGGGACTCCTCCGGGGCGACCTGCGCGCGTCGCGGGGGCTCCGTGCTGCGTTCCGCCCAGCGCCTCGCTCGCCCGTCGTCGCTCTGCCCAGCGGCAAGAGCCTTGCCCGCTATCAGCCAGCCAGCTAGCTCTCTTCGCTCCGCGCAGTGGACGACCCGCGCGCGTCGCTGGGACCCCTCCGGGGTGACCTGCGCGCGTCGCGGGGGCTCCGCGCTGCGCTGCTCCCGCAGCCTTGGACTTTTGAGTGCGCGGGCAAAGAGGGAGTAAAGGAAGGGGAGGAAGCGGGCGCGATCCTCGCGGGGGGGCGCGCCGACATTGGCGTCGCGGCGCGCGGGCGATGCCGTCGGGGAGTCCCGGGGAAGCTCCTTGCGGCGGCCACGCCCAGCGTCACGAGTATTCAGAGGCAGTCGTTGTCAAACTATTGGCATTCATACACATTTGCACCACGCTTTGTCATATTCGCATTCATGCACGTAGACTCGCTCGCACGCAGATCATTCACAGTCAGACGCACGCGCGCAGATTCACCCGCGCTCAGTCTCCCTACGTACTCAGATCAATCGTTTTCGTTCACTTTGTGTACCACGCCACTCATGTCGGCACGCCCCTAGCACGGTTCGTTGCCTCATAGGGATCGCCACCGAAAAAATGAATCACTATTGCGGTACTCGCACCTGCATATGGTTGGGTCCCTCGTCAGGCTAATTTTGCAATCCTTCGGTTTTTTTGCAATCCTTTTTTTTGTTGCAATAATTCGTTTTTTTCCCAACCATCCTGTGGTGTTGGGTCCTCGTTTTGAAGAGACAGCGCCCCGCGTTCCTTCCTTCCCGCTGCCCCCTCCCTCCTCCCATCTTCATTCGGCGCACAGCCCCTCACACTTTTCGTGCCCCATAGGGAGCTCCCGAAGGTCCCAGTGGGTGTGCCGCATGCGTCACCCATTTCGGCACACCCCTCACACGTTTCGTGGCCCCATAGGGAGCTCCACCGAAGGTCCCAGTGGGTGTGCCCGCATGCGTCCCGCACACCCATTTCGGCACACCCCTCACACGTTTCGTGGCCCCATAGGGAGATCCACCGAAGGTCCCAGTGGTGTGCCCGCATGCGTCCCGCACATCCATTTCGGCACAACCCTCACACGTTTCGTGGCCCCATAGGGAACTCCACCGAAGGTCCCAGTGGTGTGCCCGCCGGTGTCCCGCACACCCATTTCGGCACCCCTCACGTTCGTGGGGAGCTTCCCGTGTGCCCGCATGCGTCCCGCACGGTCGCACACCCCTCACACGTTTCTCCGGCCATAGGGATCCACCGAAGTCCCAGTGGGTGTGCCCGCATGCGTCCCGCACACCCGTCGTACACACCCTTCACACGTTTCGTGGCCCCATAGGGAGCCCACCGAAGGTCCCAGTGGGTGTGCCGCATGCGTCCCGCACACCCATTTTGGCACACCCTCACACGTTTCGTGGCCCCATAGGGAGCTCCACCGAATGTCCCAGTGGGTGTGCCCGCATGCGTCCCGCACACCCATTTCGGCACACCCCTCACACGTTTCGTGGCCCCATAGGGAGCTCCACCGAAGGTCCCA